TCTGAGCTGTCAACACAGAGCCCGACGCAGGGCTTGAACCCACGAACCGTGAGTTCAGTGACCTGAGCTGAAGTCCAACACTTAACCAACAGAGCCACCCAAGCACCCTGTAAAGTTAGAATTTGAGTAGTGTCATTTGAACAAGTAGCTACTGGTATAGGCTTGGACTCATATCATGGACTAGTAAGTTCCAGAAGAATCAAAGGGTTAAACATTAAAAAAAATATATATTATATAATATTTATATATTAATATTAATTATTAATGTAACTAATATTAATATATTATATATTATATATATATATAAAATAAAACGTGAAAAAAACAAACATAATTTGACCCAGTCATGAAGAAAACAAATTTATAATGGTTTAAGAAATGAAGCAAATCATCAGAGACAATATGTATATAAACAGCATCTTAATATGTAAATATACTTTTTCTGGAGTGAGACTAAATGAATATGTAAAATTTAAAAACGGGTCAAAATATGTGTCGTATATTTGATAAAATCATGCCTTACAAAATGTAAAATTGTTAGAAATGTAGAAGGCCCAAGCTAAATGCTACCAACAGACAGTTTTCTTTTAGTTCGGGGAAAAAAATGTAAGCAGTATATAACCTAAGGAATAAAATACACTTTTTGGAAAAGATACACATACTTCTAGGAATTAGATACAAATTGAAAGAAATTCAAGTTACGGTTGTGTGTCTGGAAATTATCCAAAAACAAAGTGATGAGATGGAATGGAACTTTGTGAAGAAATAGACGGCATTTAATCAGTTTCTTTAGTGAATTCTGATTTATATCAAAAATTATAACACTGTCATTGTCAGTAATGCTACGTTTTAGACTATGCTCCCAATGCTGGGGGTGGGGTGAGGTCGTAAGTTTTTGTACGTCGATCTTCCAGGTACTATTTATCCTAGAGAAAAAATGAGAAATGACAAACGTACCCGCAGTGGGGAAATGGCTGTGGAATCTGTAGCTTATTAACATAGTCTAATAGCATTTTGAGATTTAAGGTGATGTTTTGTGATCCGTGTTGAATAATAGAAATGGTTCTATAAAATACATCAGGAAGACACAGAACACAAGATTGTCGAGATACATCTATGTAAACATTCAAGCAGAGGGGCAGAATCCCTACTCATTGGACAGAGCTCGCAGGCATTCTGTTCCTCTTATAACTGGTCTATACTTTTTAAAAAGCATCCTTAAACTTCTTGAAAATTCTTGAAAAGTGTAATTTTGTCTTAACTGTGCTTTTTCTCTGATTTAGTCTTGTAGTAGATTTTATTTAGGGAATTATGTTATTTTTCCTAGATGGAGATCAGCCTCCATTTTCTGAGCCGAAATTCCCTACGGAATGCTTTTTTCTTACCCTGCACGCCCACCACCTCTCTATTCTGCCAAGTTGCCGTCGCTACATCCGCAGACTCCGGGCCATCCGGGAGCTCAATAGGTATGTGCCTGAATCTGTGTCCTGGGATCGCCTGAGTTAGCACTGCTCTCGCAGAGCAAGCAGTTCCATTGTGACCAGTAGATTTTTTTAAATTTTTTTTAATGTTTTTTTATTTTTGAAGGAGAGAGAGGCAGAGCATGAGTGGGGGAAGTGCAGAGAGAGAGGGAGACACAGAATCCGAAGCAGGCTCCAGGCTCTGAGCTGTCAGCACAGAGCCTGACACGGGGCTCGAACCCACAAACTGTGAGATCATGACCTGAGCCGAAGTCGGCCGCTTGACCGACTGAGCCACCCAGGCGCCCCAGGTGACCAGTAGATTTGAGTGTGGGGAGTATGTACGTTACAGTACACACTGTATGACCACATTCCGTGTTCAGCCAGAGTTCTTTATGTGGTGAAGTGACTCAAACTTTGGCTTCTGAGAGTTCTCAACCCTTGGTGCATGGTCACTAGACGTCCATTAACTCTTTCCATTGGTCATGGTATTGACCGGGAGGTACTTTCAAGGATCTCCCGGATTCCAGACATATTCCTTCCTCCCTGGACTCTGAAGCAGTAAGTCTATGTCCCTTGATAAACCAGATCATTTACTCCTGCCTACATGTAATTCTGTTTTTCACCTGTTGTCTTGTGGCATAAAGAATTCAGAATGACCAGATGGTAGCCTCAATTTCACATTCATCAGCACCGTTGTTGAGTTTCTTTTTTTTTTTAATGTTTATTTATTTTTGAGAGAGAGAGAGACAGCGAGCTGGGGAAGGGGCAGAGAAAGGGAGACACAGAATCCAAAGCAGGCTCCAGGCCCTGAGCTGTCAGCACAGAGCCCGACGCGGGGCTCGAACTCACAAGCCGCGAGATCATGACCTGAGCCGAAGTTGGGGTGTTTAACCAACTGAGCCACCCAGGCGACCTTGTTGACATTCTTAATCTAAGCATTTCTCCCTGTGTACCAACATCTCCAACTAAACAAATCACAGGAACAGGAAGCAAAAATATTTTTGAATGGGTCCTCTGGAATGGTAACAGTGTGGCCGCTTCATTTGGTCCAAGACCTATGTACACGTCTGGCTGTGAGAAAAAGTATGTCATGTCTATATCTGCAACTGTGTATCTCTGTCTATCTATCTGTCTTGCTAATCTCTTGTTAATGCTGATGATTACTCTATAGATGATTACTCTGAAGATTTTCCTTCTACATGTATATTCGTGTCGTTTGTAAATGATGACAGTTTTCTTTCTTACACCTTTTCTCTTTTTGTAACACTGGCTACAATTTCTAGTACAATCTTGAATAGAGACAACCTTCTTTGTATATCCTCATTACCAGATTAAGAAAATTTCGCATTATTTTTAGTATTTTAATAGTTCCTATTCCTAACAGAAGTTGAGTTTTATTAAATGCTTCTTCCATAGTTGTTGAAGAGATCAGATTTTTTTTCCCTCCTGTATTCCGTTAATGTAGTTGAATTACATCAACTGGAATTACAACATCTGATATTAAACCAGACTTCCCTTCCTAGAGTAAACTCAGCTTTTATATCTCATTGATATTGCTTTTATGTCTCATATTCATTTTGCCAATGTTCTGTTCGGGATTTTTGAGGTTGTGTTCGAAAGAAAGATTGACCTGTAATTTCTTGTTAAGTCTTTCTCAGATTTTGGTATAAGTGTTATGCTTGCCATATAGAATGAGTTGGGAAATACTCTCTCTTTTTATATCCTTGGAAGAGTTTATTGTATAACAGTTATGTTATTTCTTTCTTGAAAGTTTGGGAACATTCATTGATGAAGCTGTCTGGGATTAGAGTTTTCTTTGTGGGAAAGTTTTTAATTATGTGCTGTATTCAGTTGATAGATACAGGACTATTTAGGTTTTTATTTCATCTTGTGTTAAATTTCTGTAACATCTAAATTTTCAAAATCTATAGGCCTAAAGTTGCTCATAATATTTTCTTTCTATCATTTTAATGTCTGCAGCACCTTCATTATTTCCTTCTACTCTCTTTCAGTTTAATTTGCTTTCTTGTTGATATTTTTATTGCCCCTTGAGGTTGGTACTGAAATCATTCATTTTCAGCCCTTTCTTACGTGCATTCAAGGTGTCTCGTTTCCCCAAAGCATGGTTTTGGCTGCATCCCTCATGTTTGGCATGGCACATTTTCCTGTTCAGTTCAAAATATTTTCTAATTGTTACTGTTTCGTTTTTGACTGTGGGTTATTGAAAATATGTATTGTTCAAATTCTGGATTCTCGGTGTATTTGTCTCTTTATCTCCAGCCAAATTTCATTATGGTCAAAAGGACATGTTCTGATTTGTGTCCTTTGAACTTTTTGTGGAATTTGCTTTCTGGCCTCACATTCACAAGTAAACGTTCCATATAGATGTGGAAAGAATGTGCTTTCCGTGTTGCATATTGCACAGCTTCACATTTGTCTCAATAGGTCAGGTTTGTTCATCTATCATTCACATTTTTCTCATATTTGCTGATTTTATCAGCTTATACTGTCAGTTACTGAGAGGCATATATGCATTTCAAACTGTGATTGTGAATTTGCTTCTTCATCTTGGAATCCTGGGATCCCATCTCTTCCACTGACTTTGGATGATCCACTTCAATGGTACCAGCTACCGCTTTCACTCCAACTCCCAGTGGATGGTCAGAGATGTCAGTGTTCCCCTCACCTGTGTACTTTCCAGTGCTGTGATAGGAGAGATGTCCTCTAGGGGATGGCAGGGCGAGAGGGCATGTATTGGGAAGAGGGGTTGTCTGAGCTGGTCACACATGGTATATTTATATTAATCTATATTAATGGTCTCAGCTTCTTTTTTTTTTTTTTAAGTGTATTTATTTATTTTGAGAGAGAGCAGGGGAGGGGCAGAGAGAGAGCAGGGGAGGGGCAGAGAGAGAGAGAGAGAGCAAGGGAGGGGCAGAGAGAGAGAGAGAGAGGATCCTAAGCAGGCTCTGAGCCATCAGCATGGAGCCTGATGCCTGGCTTGAACTCACAAACCGTGAGATGATGACCTGAGCTGAAACCAAGAGTTGGACACTCAACTGACTGAGCCATCCAGGCGCCCCAATATTCTCAGCTTTTTTTTGGTAATGTTTTTTATTTATTTTTGAGAGAGGAAGAGATACACAGAATGGGGGGGGGGGAGGTGCAGAGAGAGAGGGAGACACAGAATCCAAAGCAGGCTCCAGGCTCTGAGCTGTCAGCACAGAGCCTGACGCGGGGCTCGAACTCACGAACTGCGAGATCATGACCTGAGCCCAGGTTGGACACTTAACTGACTGAGCCTCCCAGGGCCCCCAGTATTCTCAGCTTCTTAAGCGTTAGATTCCTTCCTCCCAATTATACAGGGGATGTCAGATGGCTCAACTTCACTCAGCGTAGGTCGCTGTCAATTCCAACTTTGAGTCAATTAGCTGGGCACACATTTAAAACCCATCCCAGCTACTCAGGACAATCTTGAATCCAGGATCTCTGGTAAGTGTAACGTGTTGATGAACTTAGTTCTACATAGAAAGATGTTAACATGCTTCACTCTTGCTGATCAAGCATCTCCAGGATCCATTGCACACACACTCCCAGATTGTGTCACTATTGTGGTAGATAGAATAACGATGTCCCAAGAATGTGGAAGGGAAATAGTAATTCCAAGTGCATTGAAAGCTATAGCAGTTTGCTTAAAAAGGAACAAATATGTCAACCACACATTGTCATGACCACCCAGTTAGAAGCTGGACAAGGCTGCCTTGCACTTTTCCTCATTGTTCCATGTGCCTGTCCAGTGTGGCTCCCTAGAGGCAGGCTGTCAGGCCTGTCTGCCCTCCCATAGTGCTTCTAAGCATCTTTCAGTGTCCTCTCGTCCTGCCATCTGCAGCATAGACAGGTGCCACGTGACACTTTCAGTGTGCTATCAAATCATCGCCATTTTTTTGAGAGCCAGGTATGTATGTACCAGGAGTTGTCTCTTGATCCTAACCTGGCAGGAAGCTGCTTCAGGGTTCACCCTGATAGTAGGGCTTCTGTCCCTGCTCAGGCAAAACTCCACCACCACTCTGCGTCCAGAAAACCCGCGTGGCTGCCACTCCCCAGTATCCGCTTCTGCCTTCGATGAGGGCTCACCTCTTGATGGAAGCTAGGTCATGGGCAGAGTTGCTGGCAGCGAGGCAGTCTGGGAAAGTGTAGTTTCAAAAAAACGTATAACCCTCTAGTTTTCTACGTCTTGATGGAGGGGGGTTGAAATCGCATTACGTGGGCCAGTCTTTAAAACGTGAAGCCTGTAGTGTGACTGGCAGGCGATCTTTGGGCAGGCACCTAAAGGAAGTGAAGGAACAAGCCACAGAGATTATCTTAGGAGCATTCGCAGCAGAGGGAACGATTGCAAAAGAAGAAAAGGAACTGCCATGACTGAACTCGCCTTTCATTTTGGTAAATTGACCAGGCGACGTAACCTTGAATTTCCACGAAGGACTTCTTTTTTCCCTCTCTGGAAAATAAGGGGACAATGTGTTTCTTACTGTATTTCATTAACTCCAAAGTACCATCAATTTTAAGACCTCGTTATTTGAGAAACCAGTAAGAAAGAAAATTTCTGCCAGTTCATGATAAGAGACATTCTGATTTTTTAAAAAAAAAATTTTTTTTTAAACGTTTATTTATTTTTGAGACAGAGAGAGACAGAGCATGAACGGGGAGGGTCAGAGAGAGGGAGACACAGATTCCGAAACAGGCTCCAGGCTCTGAGCTGTCCGCACAGAGCCCGACGCGGGGCTCGAACTCACGGACCGCGAGATCGTGACCTGAGCCGAAGTCGGCCGCTTAACCGACTGAGCCACCCAGGCGCCCCGACACTCTGATTTTTAAAGATGCTAAAGTAAGGGGGGAAATGTGAATCTGAGAGTCAACAAAATGGTCAAAATGAACAGATGAGATGGACCCTGTGTCTTCTTGCATTTGACTGTTAGTCTTTGGTTTTAGAACCGTGGAAGATTTGAAAAATAACGAAAGCCAATGGAAAGACTCCCCGCTGGCCACTAGACACCGCGAAATGCTGAAGCGCTGCAAGACTCAGCTTAAGGTTTGTACAGTTAATTGGAGCAATTGTAGATCAGCCTCGTAACGATAATCCTCCCGCCCGCAAGTGTGCCTTGAGTGAGCCCTTCAGCGTCCCCTTTCCCTTCATGATTCTGTTCCCTGAAGAGAGAACGCTACACTTTCCCACTCGCTGGTACCTCGCCCGTGTCTAATACGATATTGAAATCTCAGCACAGAATCTGCACACGCTCATGCCAGCGACAACTCGAATCCTTCCTGGTTTTATCACCCTCAGTGTCACGTCCCCGGCCTCCCTCACCCGTCTGCAGGGTCCTCCCCTCTGCTGCCTCCCAGCCCCGCGACCCAAAACACACAGGCACCAGTGCGCCCGGCCACGCGCCTTCACGATGTTTCACCAAGCGGGTTTGTGGTAGTGGGAAGACCCCCTTCCCTTGTCCCTCATTCTCCATTTGCCACCGAAGACGATCCACGGCACAGACCCTGACTGTAGACAGGAAGATTTCTGCTGGTGGAGGCCGGGCGGAGGCTGTACGAGGGAGCGTAGACAGCGGACTTACGCATTTTTCTCACGCTCTTGTTCACATTGTAGAACTGAGTACCAGCTGGTTCTGCTTTCTGTTGATTAGTAGGAGGATGTGTGGACATGGTAACTTCGATTTCTGGTGCAAGTTAAGATAGATTTGTTTCATTTGCCAATAGACGTAGTCGAGATGCAGGATAGACCAGGGGCCCTTAACTGGCGTCTCTAGACCCCTGCGCTCATGCCACAGACATGTTGTTAGGAGTCCGGAAACCGTTTAAACCGATGTGCCAGTGCGCGTGCATGCGTGCATTTCCTTCTCGCAGTCGTCCTCCCAGGCAGGTGTGGGACCCTCCGTGGACGAGCATTTTGCCCAGGGACAGCTCATTAGTGGTGACCTGGAATTCAGGTGCAGATTTGACCGGCTTCTTTCCACGAACCGTCTCTGACGCCAAAGCGCCTCCCCCGGCAGCCTTGTCCCCCAGTCAAGCTATTTAAACATGACAGTAATAACTACCTTCTTGAGCCGCAGCTTCGGGCGCAGTGGTTTGCATGGCGTACCCTTTGTTTTTCTCAGAACAAAGAAAGCTCCTGACACATGACCAGCTTACTATCTAGCTAGTTAGAGATGGAGCTCACGAAGCCTTAGAACTTCGACTTCCCATCTCTTGGCCCGTTCCCTGGCCGGTCAACGCTGCGGGCAACTCGCTCCCAACTAATGTGTGGGCGGGGGCATGCCTCCTTCCACAGAAACTGGTACGGTGCAAGGCCTGTGCTGACGCTGGTTTACTTGACGAGAGCTTTCTGAGAAGATGTCTGAATTTTTACGGCCTTCTCATCCAGCTGCTGCTCCGTATCCTGGACCCCGCCTATCCCGAGTGAGTGTGCCCCCTCCCCGTCACCTCCTCTTCCCTCGTCTGGGCCGTGTCGTCTTCATTGTCCTTTAGTCGATAGCTAAAACCCAAGCCCTTACTTAGTCCGTTCTTTAATTTCTAGATTGTACTTAATACAGACTACAAGATTAGTAATAGTTTGGATTCCTCGTAATTACAGTAAGAAGGGAATGTCCGCACCTATTACTTAAATTTTGACCTAGTACTTTTTTACCAACTGGCTGTAGATTGACAGAAAAGGAAATCCCTAAGTTAGAAACTAAAAACCGGAGATAACCAGCTATTAGGTAGGCCCTTTAAGCACTGGGTCCAAGAAGATACTCAGCCAGTCATTATTATTTTATTGTTACTACGAAATCTCCGGGTCACCGATGTGGGTGAGGTTGACCCAAGGCCCTCTGTAGGAGTGGAAAATATTATTTAAAGTATATCTGTATCTCTTTTGTCTCAACACAGCTTGAGTTGCATAAAATGACCAAATATGACCCTTTTATTTCTTTCGTATTTGATTACATTAACCTTAACAGAAAATCAACAGAAGGAGACATTTCTTGTGCCTGCCCTAGTATACCCTCTGTCTTCATTCCTCCCTGCTCATTTCTGGTTCTGGTCTCTTAGCTTGTATCCTTTTCCCATAGCTATATTATATAGAAGGAGGTCCCCCCCCCCCCCCCAAATAAAATACTTACCAATAATGGTCGCGTGATGTTCCTTATAGTTTCCGGTCCCAGGTTTTTGTTTCATAACTTGTGCTTTTATTCTCTTTGACAGCATAACACTGCCTTTAAATTCAGATGTCCCCAAGGTTTTTGCAGCATTGCCTGAGTTTTATGTAGAAGATGTTGCTGAATTTTTATTTTTTATTGTACAGTAAGTGCCTTTGACATACTCCATCGCTCTAATGTGTTTTCATGCATAATGTGTACATTGTATTATGAACTGTATTGCCAACCTCCATTTTATGCCTGAAATTCTGTGTGATGGCTGTAACCGAATGCTTCCTGGAGACTGGAAAAATAAATCTGACCGTGGCACGAAGCCAGTTCCAATAATATCTTCAAGACAGAAGCAGGATTAACAATGCTGCTAAGAATGTACTCTGTGAAAATTGAGTTGAATTTCTAATAATTGAGTATGTGTTTCTGAGAAACAGAAGGAGCAAACAGTTTATAAATATCTAAGTGAACATTCAAAAGCCAGAAATACCTGTATCTGTATTTTTGTACCAAAATTTTTCTCAATTATAAAATTGGAGAAAGCTTACAAAGAAGTGGTTTGAGTTTATAATTGACATTTGAGGTTTTTTTTAAAAAAAAAAAAAAAAACAAAAAAACAAAAAACAGCTATCAAAAAAATTTGTTGGGGCACTTGGCTGGCTGAGTCAGTGGATCATGCAACCCCTGATCTCAGTGTTATGAGTTCAAGTCCCTCACTGGGTGTAGCGATTACTTAAAAATACAGTCTTTAAAAAAATTTTTTTTGAGTCTTTTTGGTAGCAAAGATCTTTTGTAAAGTCTACCTCATAATTTAATCACGGCTTTGGCTTATTTCCTTAAACGTAATAAGTTAATATGACATGCTTCAGCCAGTAGACCCAATAGATTTGAAACCTATCTAGTTATAAAGTAAACAGTCACTTGAAACTCCGCAAGTTCAAGGTAATTCAGTATCTTGGCTCCTTGACCTGTTGGCCCCTTCCCTACTTAATGATCCCAGCATCCAGTCAGGTGGAGTTTTTCGAAGCTTTATTTCTTGCTCTTTTTGCCTTCTTCAGATACTCTCCTCAGGTGCTTTATGAGCCCTGTACTCAGGACATTGTGATGTTCCTCGTTGTGATGTTGTGTAACCAGAACTATATCCGAAATCCATATCTGGTGGCCAAACTAGTAGAAGTCATGTTTATGACCAACCCTGCTGTTCAGCCACGAACCCAGAAGTTTTTTGAAATGATTGAAAACCATCCTCTCTCCACCAAATTGTTGGTCCCTTCACTGATGAAGTTTTATACAGGTAAGTTTCAAGTATTCAGGTGGGCAAGGTCGTCTAAAGCTAGTGGACGGAGTTACTCTGAAGCTGGTAGCTAGTATCCCGATGGCCACGTACAGGTGTGACCTACTAGCCCACCGCTGACAGAGCATGTGCTGTTGCTTAATTTTCCCCGAATAGTGGAGATCCCACATTGACCGTTCTACGCACAAGTCCCTGATGGTGCAGCAGGATCCACGGTAAGCCACGTGGTTAACACTGAGCTCGGACTGGTGTCGACCGCACGGATCAGTTGTTTTGTCTGGAATCCTCTGGCTCATTTTAGCTTTGAGCTTTCAGAGCACGGGTCAGACAGGGAGCTTATTACAAATGTTTCTTCTTGAACCCCACTCAAATCAATGGAATCGGGATACTGGGGAGCATTCTCTCATTCGCTCTTGTCTACACATATTTGCTGAGTGCCTGGTAATAACCAGGCGCCGCCATTCTGGGTACTGGGTTTTATGCGGGTGGACAAGACCCGAGGACACATCAGACGCCGTCCTCCACTTCTGGATTGGTTGGATTCTGAATTTTTATGTTTAATTGGGCTTTTGAACTGTAGATATGCTTGCATAAAGCTGATTACCTTGGGACCAATTCACCTGTCTGCTAGCAAAGGCGTAAGATTGTCCCAATGCCACATTTTCCTTCCAGTTTGTACCTTTTGTAGGAAAGGAAGTGTGTTCTGTCTGTCTCAACTTCTGTTGAAGCTAGCCCATTCTGGGCACTCAGTAAGTGTCCTGAGCATACAGTAGAACGTACTTGCCATGCTCTTGGAAGAAACACAGGTCATCCAAGAGTACAGCTGCTTGCTGTTTGGTGCAGCGACCAAAGTTTGAGGATTCCTCTGTGTTCAGTGACAGCCATCCCCTCCCTGACAACCAAGATCGGCTCCTGCTCGTTGGGGGCTGGTGCTGTCACCTGTCCTTTCACTTCTGAGGGTTCCAGCAGTCTCTCTACCTCCTTTCGCCTTTGTCACTATTGCTTTGTAATATCTAATAAGAGTCTCCCTGGGGCGCCTGGATGGCTCCGTCGGTAGAGCATGATCTATGATAGAAGAATCAGTAAACTCTTGATCTATAGGTCAAGTTCAAGCCCCACTTTGGGTATAGAGATTACTTTAAAAAAAAAAAGAAAAAACAGTTTCTTTCCTTCCCAGCCTACCTGTTATCATCTTACACCTAAGGTAAGTAGATGAGCATCTTGAAGTTTTGTTAACATCCTCACTTTGACAACAGCAGAGAGCACTCCTGGGTCAAAAGCCTCTTCCTGGCTCCCCAGTCCTCCTCTTTCATTCTTTAGCCCTGGTGGGGCAGGGCCTCCCTCCCTGGGAAAGAGGGCCATTCAAGTGCAAATGATGAGTTACACATGTACAGGACAGGACCTTATTCAGTGCCTTGCACATATCAGACTTCGTTGAAGATAATTGTGCATTTCTTTTTTTTTTTTTTTTTAAGTTTATTTTGAGAGAGAGGTCAAGTGCAAGTTGGGAGGGGCAGAGAGAGAGGGAGAGGGAGAGAATCCCAAGCAGGCTCCATGCCATCAGTGTGGAGCACAGTGAGGGGTTTGAACCCACGAACTGTAAGATCGTGACCCGAGCCAAAGTCAAGAGTCAGATGTTTAACCAACTGAGCCACCCAGGCGCCCTGAAGATAGTTCTGCATTTCTTAAAATAGCATAAGGGACCTCTTTTCACCTATTTGTTTTTTAATTTATTTTTTAAGAAAGAGACTATCTAGTTGTAGCTAATAACATAGTTGCTGAGAAACACATTAACCTGCAAATACCTCTTTCATTTCCCCCATAGCTAGTGGGCAGCTATGAAACTCTATGAGAATGTAAATTGGTAAAACCTTTCCGGAGGGCAATTTGGCAGTCCACACCAGAAGCCCTAAAAATTTATAGATCCCACATATCAGTCAGGGTCCAGTAAGGAAGACAGAAACATGCCAGTTATTTTCACAGAATTGAGTACGTACAGAAGGCCCTGGAACAATGTGGGAGTTAGGAGCACGCCCCACACAGTCAAAAATCTAGATTTAACTCCCCCAAAGTTCATTATTAAAGCCTACTGCTGACCAGAAGCCTTATCAAGAACAGTCAATTGACACTTCTTCTGTATATGTATTAAATGCTGTATTGTTACGATAAAGTAAGCTAGAGAAAAAGAATGTTACAGAAAAATTGTAAGGAGAATACATTTACAGTCCTGTGTGTATTTTTATTGAAGAGACCACGTAAGTGGACCCGTGCAGTTCAAACCCATGTTGTTCAAGGATCAGCTGTACAAGGACCTGGGCAAACGGAAGACAGAAAGGCAAATGAGGGACTTTGGGGTGAAAGGCAGAGTGTAGGTGCAGAAGTGGCAGAGCTGGGGGCGCTGAGGCAAGAGGCCGCAGGTAGTAAAATCTAGCGGCGCGGACGAGGGCTTGGCCAGGCCTCTCAGCAACGACAGTGGCCATCTGGCCTCTCTGAGGGTGTGCAGGCTGGCTAGTGCCGCGAGCCCTGGACAGAGTTGGAAACCGGAAGCGGCTGCTGAGCAGGAGAACCTTTGCTGACGGGAGCAGCCAGCCTACCCCCCAGGTCCAAGCCCCTTCTCTCCTTCAGGTCTCCGGTTCTTCTGCAGCGCCCCCTGTTGGCGAACCCAACAGAGGGCCAGCTGGCCAGGGGAAGCCTGCAGAGTCCCAGCCCCAGCATCACAAAGCCATAAAGGGTGGATTGGGGGCTGAGGGACAGCAGCTACGTAAACAGCTCATCCTTTTGAATGTGAACTTAATTTCTAGTCATCTGTTCTACGGGGAGAATTGTAAATGTACGTATGTGTTTATAGTGATCATTACTGCAGCATCGTTTACGGTGCAGTATAGTGAAAATTCGTAAAACTGCCTAAATGTCTGCCAGCTGTGGATAAAGTAAATTAGGTATCCGATAGTGGGTCTCTCTGAGCTAGGAAAGATGATGTGTTATTTACAGTAAATGGTGAAGCGATTGAAGACAGTGTCTAGTAACGAAACAGTAGGTACACAATGACCATGTGTTGGTGCCCATGTATGTGATGGAAAACAGTGTGGAAGAACAGATACCAAAATATTAACAGGGAGTCAGTTACTTTTGAGTGATAGACCTGTGAATGGTTTTCTTTCTTTTTCTTTTTTAAAAATTGTCTGAACTTGGGGCACCTGGGTGCCTCAGTTTGTTGAGCATCTGACTTTGGCTCAGGTCATGATCTCCTGGTTTGTGGGTTCGAGCCCCACATCGGGCTCCACGCTAGCAGTGTGGAGCCTGTTTGGGATTCTCTCTCTCTGCCCCTCCCCTGCTCACTGACTCTCTTTCAAAATAAATAAACTTAAAAAAAAAATCTGAACTTAATTATTCTGCAGTAAACATGTATTGTTAGTATTAAAAACAAAAGTTGTTTAGTTAAGTGTATTTAAAAAAAATTTTTTTTAATGTTTATTCTTGAGAGAGAGAGAGAGAGAGAGAGAGGGAGAGAGAGGAGTGGGGGAGGGGAAGAAAGAGAGGGAGACACAGAATCCGAAGCAGGCTCCAGGCTCTAAGCTGTCAGCGCAGAGCCTGATGCGGGGCTCAAACTCATGAACTGCAAGATCATGACCTGAGCCGATGCCAGACGCTTAACTGACTGAGCCATCCAGGCGCCCCTAGTGAAATGTGTTTTATACTGTGCCCTGAGCCTGTCACTGGGACTTTGGCATAAAGCATGGGGGCGGAGTATAAGCTTGTGCTAAGGGCCGGGCTTCTTCCTGGGAGACCAGTGCTGGTCCTGGTGGAGCCCCACTGGTAGGATCGCAGGGACGGCTGGATGAGTGGTGTTCTCCCGTTCCCTTTGCCACCAGGCAGTGTACCGTCTGGCCCTGGACCACACCTGCAGTCCTAGATAGATGATACCCGCACTAATAATAGCCGCCGTTTATTGAATACTTTCTAATCCTTTCACTTAATCTGCACAGCCGTCCTCAAGATGGGTCCTATAAATATCTCCATGTTACAAATGAGGAACCTGAAGCTTAGAAAGGTCAAGCAGCTTGCTGAAGGTCAGCAGCTAGTGAGTGGCAGTAACCTCTGCAGTTGGGACCTTGGCACAGGTGCTCCTGACTGCCGTGCCGTGACTGCTGTGGTCACGTGGGACCGGTGCCGAGAGAACCCTGCGGTGGGGCATCGGAGGCAGCCCTCCACTCGTGTCTGAAGCCCATAATAAGACCTGCTGACTTGGGTCCTGACTCTTAGGCGTGAATTAGAGATCGCTATATGGAACGAGCTCCTCTTTTCTGCCCCAAGAGACTATCCTAGCTTAGGAGATGCTGAAGATCAAGTTTTTTTTTTTTTTATTTATTTTTTTTTCAACGTTTATTTATTTTTGGGACAGGGAGAGACAGAGCATGAACGGGGGAGGGTCAGAGAGAGAGGGAGACAGAGAATCGGAAACAGGCTCCAGGCTCTGAGCCATCAGCCCAGAGCCTGACGCGGGGCTCGAACTCACGGACCGCAAGATCGTGACCTGGCTGAAGTCGGACGCTTAACCGACTGCGCCACCCAGGCGCCCCCTGAAGATCAAGTTTTTATTTCAAAAAGAAAATTAAGCTTCAAAATCAGAGTATTTTCTTTGTAGCAGCAGTCAGTTCCTTAAGGAGCAGCGTTCCCCACCTGGCTACTCAGAACCTGGAAGAACACTGATAACTAAGACGTATTTCAAGACTGTCCTCTTCCCCAGGCCGAGCTGCATCGGCAAAGCCAGCATTAGCCCTAGTAGATTCACTCACTAATTCTACAAATGTTTATGAAGCTCCTATAGTGTGTCAGCCCTGGTTTTGATGGTAAGGCCTAGTGGTGAATATGTCACACAAACGCCGCTTTTGTGAGTCAGGCGTTCTAGTTGGGAGACGGACGTTGAACCAATAAATAAGATCCTTTCAGACAGTGGCTGTGGGAGGAGGGCATGATGCTACTTTAAGAAGCGTAGTCAGGGAAGGTCTAATGAGACAAAAGAGTGAATCACACGAAGGTCTCAGCCACAGTGTGGCAGACAACCAAGCCAGCACGTGTAAAGGCCCTGAGGCCTGGGCAGTTTAATGAACTGAACAAGAAGACCTGCAGGGGGAAGCATGGTGAGTAGTGGGGGAGTGAGGCCAGCCAGTGTCTGGTTCATTACAGACCTCTTAGAACTTGGACTTGGGAAATAGAACTTGGGCTGCTGCAGTTTTGCGGGAGCATTAGGAGTGAAATTTATAAAATGTTGGGAGAGGTGTATATTGATCATAAGTTAACAGTCATTACCGGGCGTCTGCAGCGCTCAGGATGTGGTGCGGGTATGACGGGCGACTTCAAGGATACGAGACACTCTGTATCAGCCCCCAGTGTCTTTCCCAAATAGACGCTGTTTAAATCAGCTCTCCACACTTTATTTCACACTTTCATACAGTGAATAAAATGACACTTAGTTCATTGTAAAGAAAGTTTGACCTCATGAAGATGTGTAAGTGCTTTTAGGTCTTTGTATGGTAGGTGTTACCTTTTGCCTTTCATTTTTAAATTCTTGTCACAAAAATATGTTCTTTGCAAAATATAGAAAATGCCAAAAAGAAGATAAAAGTTATTGATAATCTCTGTATTCAGAATCTCCGTTAACATTTTGCTCTATATTTTTTCAGCCAACTTACATATATGTAAATTGTGTGCGTGCGTGCATGCGTGTGTGTGTGTGCACACGGCACAGGCTTTAAATATGACTGGCCCCATTTGGTAGCCCGTGGTTTTCTTTCTTTCTTTCTTTCTTTCTTTCTTTCTTTCTTTCTTTCTTTCTTTCTTTCTTTCTTTCTTTCTTTCTTTCTTTCTTTCTTTTGTATTTTTTTTAATGTTTATTCATTTTTGAGAGCCAGAGATAAAGCATGAGCGGGGGAGGGGCAGAGAGAGAGAGAGGGAGATTCAGAATCGGAAGCAACCTCCAGACTCTGAGCTATCAGCACAGAGCCTGACTTGAGGCTCGAACCCACAGACTGTGAGATCATGACCTGAGCTGAAGTTGGACGCTCAACCAGCTGAGCCACCCAGGTGCCCCGGTAGCCTGTGGTTTTCGCCTATAATATCACAAATACTTTTTCATGTTCTCTGTCGGGCATTTGCATTTATATCTTTTCCCTAATACAAATAGTACTTTAAAGAGTATCCTGGGAGATGTTTGAACATGCCAGCGTATGTTTTCTGGAATAGAGTTGGTGGGTCAGAGAGATGGGCTTATCGATAGCTTGTGATACATTGTTGTCACAAGCTTGTGATACAATGTTGTCACATTGCCTTCAAGGGATCATATTGCTGTTCATTCCCACCAGCAGTCAGAGGGTAACTTTCTCCTACATGCTCACAGGGTCTTTTTTATAATATCTGCCAAGTTGATAGGTTAAGAAAAATGGCATCTTATTTTAATTCCCGTTTTTAACTTTTTCGTGAGCCTTATTGTGTTTACCTGACAGCTTTCCCTTTTTTTAAAACTTGTCATAAATTCAGGAACTTCTCATGCTTAAGCTATTTGTCTTTGGAAAACTAAGCTTGATCTTTGTTCCATTTTAACAATATATGGATGTTGGTAAATGAGCAGTGAATACATAGGGTATTACTATGCTTTTCTTTACTTTGGTAATGTGTTTGAAAATGTTTTATTTATTTATTTATTTTTTTTTAAATTTTTTTTTTTTAACGTTTATTTATTTTTTTGGGACAGAGAGAGACAGAGCATGAACGGGGGAGGGGCAGAGAGAGAGGGAGACACAGAATCAGAAACAGGCTCCAGGCTCTGAGCCATCAGCCCAGAGCCCGACGCGGGGCTCGAACTCACGGACCGCAAGATCGTGACCTGGCTGAAGTCGGAGGCTTAACCGACTGCGCCACCCAGGCGCCCCTGAAAATGTTAATTATCAAAAGTACTTAAAATAATACAAACATATTACAAACATATTGCAGGTTTGGATCCAGGCCACTGCAATAAAGCAAATCTCAGAATAAAGAGAGGCAGATTAATTTTTTGGTTTCCCAGTGCATGTGAAAGTTATTTATACTATAGTCTGTTAAGTGTACATTTTCACTGTGTCTAAAAAGCCAATGTATATATCTTAATTTAAAAATATTTTATTGATGGGACGCCTGGGTGGCTCGGTCGGTTAAGCATCTGGACTTCAGCTCAAGTCATGATCTCACGGTTTGTGGGTTCAGGCCCCACATCGGGCTCTGTGCTGACAGCTCAGGGCCTGGAGCCTGCTTCTGATTCTGTCTCTCCCTCTCTCTCTGCCCCTCCCCTGCTCACGCTCTCTGTCTCTCAAAAGTAATTTAAAAAAATGTTTAAAAAAATAAAAATCTTATTTTAAAAAATAAAACTATTTTATTGCTAACAATGGTATCATCTGAGCTTTCAGTGAGTCGTAATACCTATCACAGGTCACCGTAACCAATATAATAATAATGAAAAAGTTTGAGATATTGCGGGAATTACCAAACGTGAGACAGGAAGTGACCAAATGCTGTCGGAAAAATGGTGCCGATAGACTTGGCGTGACACAGGGTTGCTACAAACCTTCAATTTGTAAAAAAAAACAAAAACAAAAACAAAAAAACAAAAAAAAGCACGATAAAATGAGGTAGGCCTGTAGTGAGATTTAATAGGTATGTGGCCCCTAAGAAAACTTGACCCATTTCTTTTCTCGTCCTTGGCGAGTTGATGCTATGCTGGTGGCATTTTCGAGCTCGATTCGTTTTGGTATCGTGCCACTGCCAGAGCTTCTCTGCGAAGCTTGTGTCTTTAGAACCACCTCGTACAAGCTCTGTCTTGCCCTTACGTATGAGATACAGCTGCGCATACAGACTCGTATTCACATCGTGGCCACAGTAACTGCTTTCTGAAAGAAAGGTAAGACTGTATCCGTCCTTCAATGCCTTTGTCTTTCTTCTTTAGATGTGGAGCATACCGGAGCCACCAGCGAGTTCTACGACAAGTTTACCATTCGCTATCACATTAGCACCATTTTCAAGAGCCTTTGGCAAAACATAGCTCACCATGGCACCTTCATGGAGGAATTCAAGTGAGTATCTGGCCCCTGATACTCACGGAGCAAGTCACAGCTTGCTCTCTTGCAAACCACAGGTAGGGTGGCTGCTTAAGAGCTTTCATAGCTGGTTCTTATTGACTGTTTGCTTGATCTCAGCCTCCTTTAAGTTTTCTAGGTGGTTCTGGTACATGAGAGCAGGGTTATTGAAATGTCTGTGCTGGCCAGACTTTGCTGAACTTTAGATTTGTTGACATACTTCGGGGATGGTATGTATACATTAAAGAAAGAATTTATAAATATTCGGAGATGATGTGTTAAGTGTCTTTTGCTGTTTCTGTGATTACGGTGTGAAGCGAAGTTGTCAGAATGACTGGAACCAGATCTTCGAATGTTCTGGAATCTGATGTCACGCTTTAGATGAGAAATGTTAGGAAGACTTTAGATTTGGAAGCGGTCAGGTTGGGGTCATTATTTCCAACGTCATTCTTTGTAACAAGGCCCTAAACCTTGACTAAGGACCTTTCATTACCTACCTGGAATTTTAGTGACTACTTTAACCCGGACTTTAGTAATTTTGTTTAAATTACTTAAAAAATTTTTTTCTTAATGTTTATTTTTTAGAGGGAGAGACAGAGTGTGAGCAGGGGAAGGGCAGAGAGAGAGAGAGGGAGACACAGAATCTGAAGCAGGCTCCAGGCTCTGAGCTGTCAGCACAGAGTTCAAACTCACAAACTGTGAGGTTGTGACCTGAGCCAAAGTCAGACACTCAACTGACTGAGCCACCCAGGCGCCCCTCGTCTAAATTACTTTAAACAGAAAGGTGCTTGAGAAAGAAAATGGATGAAAATGTTGAACTTTCAAATTATTCTTAAGAAATTTTATCCCATCTACTTGGATCTTTTGCAAACCGTATTAGAGCTTTGATTAAATCCAGTTGTCGCTTGTTAACTAAGTCACTAGTCGACAATATTTGTTAGCCGTTTGCTAGGTAACTTTCTGCAGAGTGAACTCTTTAAGCCAGTTCTTTTCGTGAGCTGCTCTTCTGGTCAGAATTGTGTTCCAGCAAACCCTGGCACAAGTTTAGACCAGACAGGCCCACGGCTTGATTTGCGTGGTGCTGAGTTGGGAGTGGTCTTCCTGAACTTGCCTTGTTCCTGAAATCCAGGCTTCCTGCCTCCTGATTACACAGTGATAGATCCCGAAGGGTGTGTGGCTACTCTTTTTCTCTACTAATCTTGCAGTTATGAAGCCTAACGGTGCACTCAAATCTCCACGCACGAGCGAGCCCTCCGTTATAACGGGATATACAGGACAGTTTTACAGATTGGAAGCTTCAAGGTCTAGAAAGTGAATTAATAGCCTCCTTTATCAATGTTACAGCTGCCAACTTTTCTTCAACGTGTCTTTCTTTATAATGAAGAATAACTGTATGAGTAATTCTCTTGTCCCTTATATGTGGGTAATTATTTATACTTTCTTTGTATCTTGGTGAGTTTAAGCATATTTTCTAGTCTGGAAGAGTGTCTTCTCGACTTCAGATCATTGAGAGAATGAGCCAGGGATGTGTTAGTAAACCTGCTCTCTGAAGAGGTGGAGAAAATTCAGCCTTTGCTGGTTTTCTCAGGTGTAAATACTTCCACCGTGGCTAAATTTAAGCTGCCAAGGGAGTCTGCTCACAAAATTCTGAAATACTAGTAATTGGCTCTCATCAACCGTGCAAGGTGCCTCCGGCGCACCACTGAAATGAGCTCATCACAGTTAATTAAAAGGAATAGCAAGATCCAGGGAGAGACTCTGTAGTCCTTGACCTCCACAGTGCTTGAGTGCTGGCCCGGGAGGCAGTCTTACAGGGCCAGATGGTTGGCATTTAGGGCAGAGGCCCATTTTCTTTGGGATCTGCTGTGGCACTTTGCTTCGGCAAGAGGTCTGACCGTGTGCAATGTAATTGCCTTTCCAGTTCGGGGAAGCAGTTTGTGCGCTACATAAACATGCTGATAAATGACACGACGTTTTTGCTCGATGAAAGTCTGGAGTCTCTGAAGCGGATCCATGAAGTGCAAGAAGAGATGAAGAACAAAGACCAGTGGGACCAGCTGCCCCGGGTGAGGACACGGCGCAGGCACTCGGACGGCGGAGCCGGAAAACCGCCTCGGCCCCTGGGCAGGGCTCTGCCCGGGGCCGCGTTTGTGGGCCCTGCTGACTTAGATGTGACGTACTTGTCATTGCTTGTCACCTCCCACCTGCGGGCTTCTGTGAAGTTGATCCGGGTTCAGGGGAGGAGTGAGCTTAAACACTCCATCTAAAGCTAAGAAGCGAGTCGAGAAGTCTTTCAACATGCGTTCTCCTGCCTTCTTAGTTTTAAAGGGCTTTTTTGGAGAAGAGCTTTTATTGTCTGACTGTTGTTGATGTCAGTTTATGAAAGTAGGAAATAAATCTCTAGAATTCTGTGCCAGACAAGCATTTGATTTGCTCACAGCATCTCCTTTAGACAGCTATGTGAATCACGCAGGATTCTGGTGTGGTTTTTTTTCCTTCTGGTTGATCTTGGTTTTATATTTGGTTATTGGTGGAAGACAGTGTCGTTTTGCCAGGTTCCATGACATGGTGACATGGTGACGTGACAGCACACTGGCATGCTTTTCTGACACTGCAGCCATTTAGACGGTTCCCCGATCAGTTACTTCGCTCTTGACAACTACTGGGGACTTGGTATCTTGGTTCCTTCTGTTCCCGGGCTCAGAATCAGAACTGCTTCCCCAGAGGAATTCTCCTGGGAGAGGAGGGAGCACTGTTGTTTCTTTACTTGCAGTAGCATTCTCAGTGCGAAAATACTGTCGAGCTTAATGCCGCACAGTCAAAAAGTATCTTAAGATACATAAGCACGTATGAAAGCACACTTAGGAGATGTTTTTATTCCAAGTGTTCCTGCAGCTGTGGTGAGAATTTTACGACTTGCTGTAGCTTAGCCAGCGTGCTTACACTACAGACTGAAGCCTTCCGGGGGCTTTGCAGGGCCCGTGAATGCTGGATGCCCGAGTCCAGGCCGCCACACTGCTGGACCCCCTCTCTTTGTATTCTTGAGATAACGTGGTGGTTGTCTTCTTTTTCCTCGGCACTGCCCTGGCATCCACTGGAGTCTCACCTACTGTCTACCCTCGTATTCGTTTCTAAACACACTTTAAACTCTTTTTCCTGTGGTGCCTCCAAAGCTTCCCTCCTGCACCTCCCCATCTCCCCGGGGCAAGAGTCGGCCCAGACCTTATGTTTCACGCCTCCCCACAGTAGCTCTCGGGAGTCCTTCCAAGCTTTTCTCCCATTCCAGTCTGTTGGCTCCGATCTGGACCGGTCCCCGGGCCCTTGGAGAACATGCTGGGCAAACAGATGAGGCCTAGCCAAAAGAGGTGCAACTTTGGAGCCGAGGGCACCTAGGTTTGAGGACTGATGCCACCACGCATTCAGAGTTCCTGAATCTGTTTCCTTGTCCCTGAAGCAGAGATGATCCCTGCTTTGCGGAAAAACTAGGAGGAGGGATGGTGGATGTCGCGAACCCAGCTCAGCACTGGCGCTCAGGACGTGTAGCTCTCCTTGTTTCATTTGCCTCAAGTCATTCTTTCTGTCCCGAATTCTCTGCTTGCCGTTCTTGTGTATGAAAATCCTACCCATTCTTTACACAAGGCCTTGTGCAGGGATTCCCTCATGGTTGGACTACCCCAGCCAGAGCCGCCCCAAACCCTCCCCTTGCTCTATACTTCTGTAGCGCCCACTCCGTGTCGCTTGTGATGCTTGTCTTAGACCAGCTTCTGTCGTAGATGTTGGGATACGGGTCTGTGGCACATGGTCTCATTCACGGTCGGTGCTCAGTAGCGTTTGCTTAGGAGATAACTCAACAGTTCCTGTTGATTTTGCCGTGTCCGTGGATGAGAAAGCAGCATAAATAGTTCCAACCAAGTGCTATTTCAGAAATACGTCTGTGTGATTTTGAAGTCCCTTCCTGCCACCCACCTCCCTGCCTGCTGCTCCCATCTCGCCATCCTCCGAATGCTGGCGGACTCGGCTGCTCAGCCCTCAGGCTCCTCCCCTCCTCTCTCCGCTCTCGCTGCCAAGGCTGGTGTTTCTCAGGTGCTCGGTGGAATTTCGGTGTGGTAATAATTCTTTATTATGGAATTATTGGAATGGAAGACCGCACCATACGTCGCGGGACATTTGGCATCTCTGGCTCGCGCCTATTTAATGCCAGTGAATTACCCTCCTGCCCCGAGTTATCAGGCAGCCAGAAACACTCCTGCACGTGGCCTGATCCCCCAGTTGGAAATCACTGCTAGGTGATATCATCTATTCCCAGCAGCTTTGATGGTCGTTATTCTAAAGATTCTGGAACATGTCTCCTCAGTTCCTATCTCTCCTGACGCCAGACCTGCTTCACTAGCTGTTGACTTGCTCCTCTGCCCGGTGGTCTCATAGTATCCCTTGACAAGGGGGGGGCCACTTCTCCTCTCCAGGTCTGCCCAACCTCATTGAGGGACAGCTACATTCTTTTTTTCTTTTTTTAACTTTTTTTTAATCTTTATTTTTGAGAGAGAGAGATACAGAGTGTGAGTGGGGAGGGGGGGGGGCCCAG